TGCATCGTTTAAACGGTTACTGAATAAAATTAACCACTATAGGCCTTAGCTGCAATTCAAGGTTCCAGAGGTTCTAATAAGCGTCAAATAATTCATCAAGGCATTTCAGGGTCACCATAACTTTCAAATTACAACCACCTCATCATTTCTGTCACAGCAGTTGCATTGCACGTGTTCCTCTGATAATTTGAGAAAAATGGCTGTAATTTTTAGTGGACTCATTCACTGTTTTTGCTTCAAATGAACTTTGTACGAACCAGTTTTACGAAACAATTTCCAGATATTCAGTTGATTAAAAAAACTTTCTGGTGTAAAATACACTTCTTAGTCTGGCGTGATCAATACGACTTTTTTGTAAAATAAGCCGAAATGATTCGTTCCATTCTCTCACTTTAGAAAAAAAGCTGGAGTAATTGTGCGCACGATAAATTTTTAGAGCAATTTTTAATGAACCGCAAAAACAGAAAAAAACTTCAAAAAAAATTAGGTTTACCAAAATGTCTGTTCTAAAACAAGACATTTGATTATTGAACTATCAACCAAAAAAAACTTTCGATGCAAAAACAAAACCCACTATTTTCGAGCAGACACCAATTCAGCTAAATTTGATTAATTTTGACAGACACACATGGTCGGATTTATTTAATAAAAAAGGAGTCGCGCTAAGTTTGAGCTTAATTTAATTTACAAAAACTTACAAAAAAGATGAGCAAAAATACAAAAAAAAGTATCTTCTAAGCTCCTCTAAACGAATTCAAATTCAAGCGTTTTGAAGCAAATAAAACCTTCAATTTTGTTCAACTTTCTCAACAACAAAAAACATCTGAAAAACTCAATAATTAAAAGATTCATATTTAAGAACAATTTTTTTTTTACAAAAAAAATTTTTTTTTTGAATTTCATGAGAAACAAACGAATTGAAAAATTCTGCAACATGAGTTGGCGCTGATAATATCTGTACAATTTTTTTCCTGAACTAAATCGAGAAACAAAACTAAAAATTTTTTGCGGGCAAAATTTATCCAGAATAAAATTCCACGGACAAGCACATTCACCCGAGAAAAGTGAGCCCACTGAGCCACGAAAATATGCTCATGTTTAAGCTTATATCCGTTTCATCCCAAATAGGTCATCTGGGTTGAGTGCCCATGAAGAGATCAATTCTACTTCCATCAAGCTACTTAAATCAAAACATAAATTTTCGCTGCAATTATCTAAGAAGTTTGTGGCATCACAATGTTTCGTCGTAACTATTCTTAGACGAGCTGTTGCTAAAAAAATTCAGACGAGCTTTTGTTCGGAATCAATTTCAGTTTGCAAAATGAAAAGAATACCAATTAGATACAATTTTTTAACAAATCCTCTCGAAATTTTTTTTATCAGATGTAATTTTTTTCGTTCAAAACAATTAAAGTGTGTGCTATGCAAAATAATTTTTTCAAATTTTACATTAATATTTTTCGAATTAAAAAAGATAATTTGAAAACGCTCAGCAAATAGTTCGTTGTTGCAATAATGTCATAAAAATTTTTCTCGCTGACTTTTTAATTCATTTCAATCACAATTTTAGATAATTTATGCCATAATGAGGATAATAGATAAAAACTTCAAAAACTAACTATAAAATTCAGCAATATTTTTGAAACTCAACTACCACTGCTAAAACAAATATTTTACACAGAGCTGCAATTCTCAAACACAAATATGAAAACGTCAAAATGTCTGATAAGAGCCTAAGAAGATCAAAGAAGACAGGAGGAAAGAAGGTTGAAATTGGGCCTGGAAACTGCAAATTCCGCTGTGTTCCGGAATCAAACAACCCAGCCTCGAACTTAAAAGTCGCACACCCTTTGAGCCTGAACAAGTCTTTAAATTTGTTCTAAGAAATACTGGAGGCCAGCCAAAGCTGGAAATAACTGTTTGATAGTTTTTGAATTTTTTGTACTGATGCGGGATGAAGTAGGTAATTTCAAAAATTTAAGAATTGGGCTTCCCCAAAATCTTAGTTGTTGTTCTATTAAAAAATGAGTGAAAATTTTCGTGATTTGGAATTTTCCCACAAACCTTTTTTTTGTTCAAATTTTAAGGCTTAGCATCTCATGCACGGAGGAGTCTCACAACCTGTTGCCATGACTAAACCCTTGATACCAGCTTGAGTTGTTTTCGAGAAGTCAAAAAGTTTGAAAAAATGGACAAGAAATCCAAACATTGACTTTTCTGTCCGAGAGTCAATTTTTTGTATGAAAAACATTTGGGCGTAACTTTTTGTTCTACCCATTGAAACTAAAATCTCAGATTTGAAACAATGGTTTTCGAGAAAATAATCATCAATAATGTGAAATAAGAGTCCAAGATTTTAAGTTCAACTGATAGAACAAGTTGTGGGGAGCTCCCCTGAACAAACGGCTACGCCCAGAACTTTTATACAAAAATTTATGGCCATCATAAAAGTCCAATTGTAGAATTTAAGACCGTTTTTATACAAAAAGAATGACTCTCGGAGAAATCAATTTTGTGACCGTTTTTTTGAATTTTTTCTCAAAAATTACCCTTGTTTTAATGGGTGGAACGGGTTGTGGGAAGTTCCCTGCATCAGCGGTTATGCCCATATTTTTTTACACAACAAGTTATGGCCCTCGAAAAAAATAAATCTTTTGATCGTTTTTTGAACTTTTTTTTGACTTTTCTCGAAAACCTCTTTTTCAAATCTGAGATATGGTTTCAATGGGTGGAACAAAAGATTATGCCGAAATGGTTTTTACTCAAAAATTTTGACTCTCGGATCTAACTGATACGTTAGTTTTTGAGAAAGGTCAAAAAGTCTTTAGAAGTGGTCTAAAAACCGACAATTAGACTTTTCTGAGAGCCATAACTTTTTGTTTAAAAAGTTTGGGCGTAGCCGCTTATTTAAGGGAGCTTCCCACAATTTGTTCTATCCATTGAACCCAAAGTCATAGATTTGGGAGGTTAGTTTTTGAGAAAAAGTTTGACAAAATTTCGTCCACACACGTTTTCGAAGGCTGTAGAAAGTGGGGTAAAGTAAAATGAGACTAGGGAATTATGCAGGCACAGAGGAGAGTTAGCAGCATTCTCATTGGTACCAATTGTTTGGAAAGCGGTAGATTAGTTTTTGAGAATAAATTTTTGAAAAAAATGAAATAACTTTCAATAGCGTCTAAAAAATCAAAGGAAAAAAACTTTAAAAAACCCGATCCCATACATTTTCATATCAAACAAACAGAAAAATCATTGCCACCTATAAACGAGTCTGAAGTGATAACTAAGCTTAAAACAGCAATTTACAGAAAAAATTAAATTGTCCCAAACACCACATGATTTTACCGAATGTACATCTGGCCGGATTTGATCGCTGGACCAAAAATCAATCTTAGTAGCTTGATATACTCAAGTTATTCTGATGATTTCTTTGCGGAGTTTTTACCGGGAAAAGTATAATACCCGGTATTAAAATTCTCGCTAATCGCAAAAATTCAACAAGGAGTTCAAATGCACTTCTTAAACACGTGCAGAAAGCAGCTCCAAAGGTATATAAGAAAAGGTTGAAATAAGCCTGAAATAATAAAACTTATTTGTTATTCGAACCTACGATCTCGAACTTTGCAGACTCACTTCCTCTCATATGTATTACGGATACCTAAAGGTTTCCTTAACAACCACCAATAAACTAGCCACACAAACTAATAAATTACCAATTCCAAGCAACGAAAAAACATAGCCAATTAAAGATTGGAAAAGAGTAATGAACGCTAGTACACAGAAAAAAAACAGGTGGTTGAAAAAACCTCAATTTTCGGATTTCAAAGATCTGCCCTTTGAACACTTGGAATTTCTAGAACAATTTATTTTTAGCGCTTTTTTGATAACATGAGAAAATTGGATCAATAGGTAAAGGTTTTATTCCGCTACGAAATCTTAAAAATAAATTCCACTTTCGAAACTAGAATTCGTTCGTTTTTTCGCGCCAATTCACATTCATATTTGGAGAGTGCTATTTACGTCACTTTCAGCAGATGAATTTCAATTGAACTCAAAAACTGCATTATACCTAGGTGCATCAATATTTAAAGATTTTTTCCTGAAAAAAAAAACAAAAATCAGCAAGACGTATATGAAAGTCTTCACAACGGACATTACGCTTAATAAATTGTTTGCTAAAAACGACATTAAACTTTCGACTAATAGATTAGGAGTCTCGTCTTTCCATCTGTGCCACGGTTGTGTTGCTTGAGAATTGGCAAATTGTAGCCACCAATAACGCAGAACAGATGCTATGAAATTTCCAATTCTACAGCTCTTGATAAAAGCAAAACGTCCAACAAATAAACATTTTTGAAATTAACTGGTTAAAAAAAAGAATCAAATTTTTACACTACGCTGACTTATGTTAACAACCCGTTAACTGAAAAAAATTTTCCTTTTTAAGATGCTTTAGAACATCTGAAGACAATTTGTCAGAAGTTATCCTGAACAGGCCCTCAAATTTGCCGTGATATTGAACAGTAAGCTGCATCTTGAGCAGAAATGTTTCCTCAATAAAAACAGACAGATTAACTTCGGTTGAATGACTATAAATCTGCCTGCTATCGTCATTTATCGTTTTTGCTGTGAAATAAGAAGTGTCTGAATTCGGAACAAGTATGTCTCCTCATACTAATACACTTTGACAAGCTCTTCTAGCGTAAAACGTAAAAAAATCCTCATTTCTCAAGGTGAACATAGCGTACAGACTGTTAATGAACAAGGATACCAAAAAATAGTGGTATTTGACGATTTTTCGAAATCGGGAGAAAGCACATCCTTGAAGCTCTAAATTTCTTATTTCCTACTCTTTTCTTTTTGACTTTTTATCATTACGCTAACTCAATTAAAGAAAACGGGATCAACAGAAAACCATTTCATTCCAAAGAAAACAAAAGCCCAACTACGAAAAACCAATTTTGAGCTTGATTAAGTTTTAGAAACTTTTTCCTGAAAAAAAAATCAAAAACCACACGACCTAAATAAGTGATAATTGACATTGTTCATTACCACTCAAAAACAAGGCGAAAAAAATGAACTATGGTGATTAAGGTATGTACAATATAAAAGTGAGTTTTATCTTGAGTCTAGCTTGAAAACTGGCCAATTTGAGTACTGAGGGTGGAACTCTATTTTGAACTGCAAGTGGCGCCTGAAGTCTTCTGAGTTTTCTTCCTTTTCCTCTCTGGGCCACTTCTGCAGAATGAGGTTTAGCACAATTAAGTTATTGGAGCTGACCTTGAACATGAGTTCGACCTCGTGTGGCACATTACTTGCCCCCTGAAACAACACTAATTCTGATTAGTGTTGATTTAAAAAGTATAGAAGTATTCATAATCGAAGAAACGCTGTCCCTGCGCGAGAGCAACATAAAGATAGCGAATGGATATCTTCAACTATGTCCCTTTTTGCAATAGAGCGGGTTAAAAATAGTTATAGAGATCCTAAATTTATATGGTGGTTCCTTTCTTGCAGCCTGTTTTAAAACAAGCCAAACCAGACTCTAACAACTGAAATGCCGGGCAGAAAATGGTGTCCGACTATTTGTCATGTTGCTGACCAAAGAACGCAAAAATCAAGTTGGCTTAAGTTACAACACATTACCGCACCCTGATGTCAGATAGAAGAGTCTTGGCGTCTGAGAAGCTCTCGGCTGCCTGTTGCAGCACCCTTCTGGGCTGCCCAGAGGCCACAGCAGTGTGTCCTGATACCGCCGCACAAAACATCTCGTAGCTCGGGAAAAAGTCTGCGTCAAGGGCTATGGGCGCAATGCGACGCTCAAAGCGCAGCTTCTCATTGTCGAAACATTTCTCCTCCACTACCTGAGAGATAGGATCAAAATCAATTATTAACGCAGAGGTTAAGCTAAGCTTCGCGCCACTTGCGATACAAAAAAAGCCGTTAAGTTGAAAAAAAAACATCCAAAAAAAAAATTCGAAAATGCCAAAAAATTAGATCTATCAGAATGAGCAGGGCTAGTTTTGAAACAAAAACGTGCCAAGATAATATAATGAACAATAAGCATCAAATTAAAATTTACAAAGCTGCAATAAAGCAGAAAATATCTTAGCGGAAATCCTTTAAGACGAAAAAAAATTCAACTAGACTTATAAAAATGTATTAAGTCCCCCTCGCTCTCAAAACACATAAAAAACTTTATTTGCACGTCAAATGAACAAATATGAGGATACTATATGAGTCGATCTAATATAGGCCGAAATATTACGCCCAAAAAAAGGAAAATAAATAACAACGGCGGAAAATTTTTTAAAAAAAATTAAGACTAATGAAAAGTTATTAGGTCCCCCTGGCCCTCAAAACACATATAAGCAACACAAAATTCGCTCGTCGAACGATCCAACGCATTATGAGGCACCTAAGTTGAAATAATATATGTCGAAATCTATCACGCCGAAAAAAATGTTTTAACAAATCTAGTTGGTAAAATAAAACCAACATAAAAATAAAATTTAGCAATAAAATGCTAACATGTAATTTACCGGTGCATGTGAGCATTTTATTAGCGGTAAATTTGAGTCTAAGAGAGGCTTCAGGGAAATGAGTCCAGATGAAAAGAGCCGTGAACAAAGTTATTTACGGGGGAAAATCTAGTACCCGATTGCAACACCATTGAATTAGAGAAAACTGGATCAAAGCGTAATTTTTTTATACTACTGGGAAATCAAAAACCCAAAACCACCTTCGGAACTAAGCATCATCAACCCTTTTTAGCGCCATTTTCCAATTTCGTTATTGGACAGCATATTTTGTTTTTCTTTTAGCAAAAAAATGAATTGAACTCAAAATGAAATCAAATCAAACCACACAAAAACAAACCGTAGAGACAAATTTTAAAACAGTGTTTTCACTTCGTTCATTTGCAAAAATTCAACCGAAGCAATTCTAGATATTGAATCGACTGTCAATCCAATCTCAGTCATGCCATCCTCTAATTCCATCTTAAATTTTTTGAATGCCCTTTAAACTTTTACTCACTGGCAATTTGGCAGCCGCCTTCAGCAAAACGAGACATTTGTAAAATCCACAAAATATTGACAATAAACTTTGGAGGTATTTGAGGTTGTGTGCCTGTATTTCGTACAGATGGGCCGACTGCGTGGCCATTTCGATTTCCTTCTGTCGCATCTGCTTTTGTTGTTGTTTGTTCTTTTTCTGATTAGACGACCCTGATGCATTCTGTTGAATGTGATCACGTCTTTGCACTTTGAAGAAGGGCCTCTCACTAGTTGGCACAGTTTGGTATTGCTTCGGCTGCGACATTAACTCATCACTGAACTTTTCTAGCCTCTCTTTTTGCAGACTACATGACCATATAAGGAGAAAATCTGCCAGGTACCAGAATATGTAGATCAGCTCATGCTCGCTGTATAACTCCAACTCGAAACCCATGTATATAAACTGTTGCATCACGTTCGATGCCTGGACACTCAACCAAGAATACACTCTGTGGCACTGAATAGACTGACTCTGCTGCTGCTGGCTCTGCTGGGTGGTTTTGTCTGTCTTCAGCTTCGGGTAGTGTGAGTTTAATGCATTGTCCAGAGCAATACAGAGTGGTTCTAAGTGGAACAGCTCTTGATTCACTCTAATCAACTGTTCTCGCAGTCGTGACCGGTTCTTCCCGTAGCACTGAAGAAAAAACTGATCTACTTACAATGCAAACCCCCCAGCCCCAATATGGAATCTACAAAGAATATCCACCCCTTTAAATAAAAATTGTTAACTTAGCACTAGAGCGCTCTATTGGACATTTATTTTTGTTGTATTCTGATTGCTAGAAAATTCGACTGACTTTCAGTACTTTCCAAACCCCCGTTCTTTAAGGGGGAGATCGTCAAGTAATTCGAAAAAAAAAAACACTGTCATAGACAATTGTGTCATTCGTATAGGGGTAATTCATCATGCAACCTGTCTACTCTCTGATGTTCGCATATCTTCTTACCTTGATGAATTGCACTATAGCGTGTGTTGAGTTGGACAGAAACTGGCTGACAAGTTTTGATATTTCCTCTGATCCAGTCGTGGTGAATGCCAGATGAGACACCGAACAACTAATGGACTAGAACATCAAGCTCAATATTTTGACGCGCATAATATTTTTTTTTCAAATGGAGACTAAATTATCTAGTTTATTGAAGCAGCAACGCTAGCTTTAGTACCTTTGCCATGAATTCCTCTAAAGACACCCCAAGTAATGTTGGTTTGTGGTGGTCCAGATCAGTCAGACCCAGAGATCCGCCGCCACTGCTTCCGCCCACAGCGTTGGCACAGTTGACATCGTGAAACAGCACACATTGCACAATTGATCTCTCTAGGAGATTCGACTTCGCACTACTTGATATCGATGACACAAAATTCAGCACAGTGGATAATGTACAGGAATTGGCTGATGAATTGCTGAACAGTTGACATGATTCTTTGAAGCTAGTTAAGGTAGTAGTGAAGTAATCGTGCATTTTGGTCCAAGATGCAAAAGCTGCAGCTTTGGGAAACGTTGGCGGCAAAAGATGCTGGTTTACTGAAAAGATCGGATTCATTGGCAAAACATAAAAATATCTATTTTCAGCTTGAACAAATTTACTCAATTAACCACAACTAATTAACTAACTACTTAATTAACAACAACTAATAGAAAAAACAACCATCATCAAAAAATTACGCAAATATTTCTAAATTCGCCTTTTCCTAGTTGCAAAGATATTGCAAATAACAAACATAGCCACCAGGGGTAGGATAAAAGTAAAAGAACAACGAAAGATTAAAATCCTCTTTCGAAACTAGAAGTCGATCACGTTTTTCATTAAATTTACAATTCTGCTCTGTTCGATAGTTGAGTTCGTCTTCCTTTTAACAAAGGACGCGAACTGAGCTCAAAAAAATCATAAGTTGACCCACGATAAATCAAATTTGAGTTTTCCTGAAAAAAAATCATCAAGACCTATATCAAAGCTTTCACTACGTTCATTCACTTATAAAATAAGTAATTTGAAGCATTACACCTCTCCTTGCCAGAAATGTTTGCCTTATGAATAGGTTACTCAAAAATTAAATGGTGATTTCACAAAATGAAGTTTCTTAAAAAAATTTCTGATTGAAAAATAGAGCATTTTTATTTTTCTGAAAATCAACGAATTTTTGAATGCTCAGGTCTGACTGAAACTCCCTTATTCAAAATTTTTCTCAAATTTACTTCATTTACACCTTAAATTATGGTTGCATATTTAACTGCTACACCTATTTTGCATAATTTAAGGTAAAAAGTGAACTAAAAATATCACTACTGTGATCTTGTATCGGAAAAGAAGTTTTCTGAACTCAAAAACTAATACTCACTAACAATTTTCATCAAATCCTCTCACTTTACAGATTCCTTTCGTAACTAGTTCCAGGTCACGCTCTCTCGCATCATCTGTTTGCTTGAACTGTCTTAACTTGTCAAGTGTCTTCTCTAACAACTGAGGCATTTTTTTCATGTCATTCGAAGCTTGTTGAGTGCCACCTTTCAAAACTGAAGAGCAAGAGGCAATGAAAGAATGGATGAATGTCAACCTAATAGACAATTGCTCGCCAGAAGAAGTTTTCAACAGTTGGCTCGAGTCACTTTCGGCCTTCAGTTGATTCAGCAAGACCTAAAAATATTACCTGAACTTATAAAGGATGAAATCATTTCTGATTTAAAGATAGTTTCAAAGGTTGGAATATAAGAGACGCATATAACATATGCAAAAGCTAAGAGAATATTATTAAGTATGTCACAGATATAATAGGTTATGTTTTGGACCATTTAACCTTTGCTGGCAAGGAAAAACATTTGATGTCAGCCAAATTACTTTTTCATTGACATGCGAGGCCAGACTGAGTCCATATGTCATCAAATAAACGTCTTCTTCTTCGAAGACAGCAGCTGTGTTCAACATTTCTATGCACTTGTCCAGAACCCGCAGCAGACCCAAACAAGCCACTCTGAGAGAACTGTTTAGTATATTTGCAGGTGTGTGCAAGAAGGTACACGTGAACACTGTCTGAGCCAATGAACTGCCTTCCAGGAATGTAACCACCGATCGCAATACAGTGTCGATTATCTCGACAATAGTACTGCTGGCAACATCCGACTGATTCAATTCGTCCCACACTAGGACATCAACGTTCTTGTTCTACAAACATTTAACAAGCTGAACACTCTCGGGATATTCTATAATTTCACACTCGATACATAAAGCGTGAGAAATGTAGCGGATTAGCATTACTTGCGATACAAAGGTATATGCCAATGAAATAAAAAACTGAACATGCCACACAATTCATAAACTAAAAACTTTTAAAGTACAATTCAGCGATTCTCACATATGATTCAGCCTATTAGACAAACTACTTTAAATTATGCCTCGAACCATTTCGATTATGGTAAGGGTGCCGAATCCATTTATTTCTTAGCTTACAACTGAACGACGTAGTTGTTTTTCTTAGCTCGCATGCTGCGTATACGGGCTTCTGGCACGGTTTGATTGCTTGGTTGTTTTCCGTCTTCCTAGTTAGTTTGACGGTGCTCGGTTGGTTGTCAATCGTTTGTTATCAGTACTTTGGTTCAGTTGAAACAGAGATTGACTTACTGGTTTCGGCTCGTCTTGTGGCCAACAAGCACGGTGACTCTCCCGAGCTGCCTCTGTGAGCCATGCTGTTAGCTGAGGTTCAAGAACACAGCAGCTTTGATGGAGTCTTCCAATAAACTGCGCGGTCTGTCGGTTTTTGTTGACAGTTGATTAGTCTGGGGAGGCACATTTTTGCATGGAGGGCATTCATTTGTCCTTTGAGGATCTATTATGCTCATAATGGAGTTTCGACGTGTACTATACCCGGAGCGTAGTTGTGATAGAATGTGCCTCGTGATAGTTTGGGTCGATCCTTATTGATTTTTGTTGGGAGGAATCCAGTACCTTTGTTAAAGTTGCAACAGATATATCTTGACACATCATTCCGATGAATATCTCAATGCTTTTTTGGTATTCAACCATGTTGATTTTTTTTTGCTTTCATCCATCCAAAAACATGTCAATTTCATCGCCAAAGCGATCTTCCAGTGTTGGGCGGATCTGTCTGGACTCTCTCGTAAGTGTTGTATTGTGATCAGGTCATAATGTTGACTGCCAACAAGAAACTGCTTTGAGAACACGATGTGAGCCTTTACTTCAAGAATTTCTGTTTCGTTATGTAAAAGGTTGGTATCAGACATTTTCACGTTTCCAGTGATTGCACTGATAGCAATGTTTTGCTTCACCTGGATATTATTCCAACTTGTTACTAATGGCTGTGTCCATATTAGTGCTCCGTTATTAAGTACACTGCGCCAATGGCTATTTAAATAACACTTAGTGTTTCTATCGAGCAACCGCAATTAGTACCAGATAGAATTCTAATGATGTTTTTACGTTTCTGAAGATTTCCACATGTGTTAGTGATGTGTTGTGAGAAATTGGACATGCTATTAAATGTTACCCCAAAAAAAATTTGACTGGGTCTTCAGGGGGATAGTTTGACCACTAATTGATAGCTGTGGGTCAAAACGGCGTGATGAAAATCACTTGATGCTACTTTTGTTACCTTTAAAAACAAGGAAATTTAGCATTCTGATTGCTTAAAAAACAAGTATAGCCAGTTGTTGTTCAATAGCACAATATATACAGACCTCATTTATCTTCACAAAAAAAATCTTTAAAAAACTAAAGCTAATAACCGAAAAAAAGAGCCTGAAAAATCAAATTAGTCCGGAAACTAAATTTCAGACCAATGTTGATATTAATTGATATCTGAGGCACGACCAATAGTGCTTTCCTGGTGTACCTAAATTCGGTCGGTAAAAAAGTGCACCCTAAGCAATAGTTCGTTCCCATTTAGTGAAGTGGTCGAACAATAAATAAAAAAACAATTTTGTACAAAAACTAAGAGCTTCCGAGTTCCCAGTTTTAGCTGATATTTAACTTTCCTTTTGTTTATGCAGCTTTTGGAAGCACAATTGATTCGCCAAGTAAATTAATCGGTCTCTGAGAATTCTCCACTAAAGAACTTCCAGTATATCCCTGAGAGTTTTTCTTTAAAAGTTTGTAAACCAATAGTACCAGGTCAACTACAACACACGCAGCGAATTTGTTGAACAAAAAAAAGCACTCAAAGGCAAAAGTGGTTTTTGAATTTGTTTCGCTTTAGTTCGGGAATATGGAACGTTTTTCGTGGTCAATCGTAACTGAGGTATCGGGGAATGAAGTCAAATGGTTGCAGATATTGCAGTCGTAGTTGTATTGCAGTTACAACTTTATGAAAGAATATGAGATCGTGCGTCTCGTGATACAACGAGAACGACAGTAATCGGATTTTTTCGAGTCGTTACTTGAAGGAGATTGATGAACAGTTAAGGATTCATCCACTAGCTTTCTTTGTACGCCTTCATTTGATTTCAGTTCTGTCTTCATACCTAGATCTGTACCATATAAATGGTAATGTAGCCAGAGTAGGCGTTTAGCTATGATAACATAGATGCCAGCTTATAAATGTCTTCTGAAACTCGCTGGCTTCTGAAACTCGCTGCTCAGAGTTAACAATCCAAGAGATATACTTAAAACCAGAACTCCACGACCTCTATCAGTATCAGGTTCCAAAAGTTCGTTGTCGTTTATGTAGACTTTGTTTGGACGAGGAGACGATTTGAAGACTAATTTATGACATTTTATATGATCCAGACTCAACATACCTGGGTTTGTTGATAGCAGCTTGTAACCATCTGCATAGCCAACAAATTTGGCATTTATGCCAGTTGGTAGATCATTGAAAATTCAGAGACACAAGAAAAGGGCCCAAAATGGGTCTTAGGGGAAGTCTCTGGTAGCATTTGGCCAGCCGCTGAATTTTTTTCCTTCGTACCATTGCTTGTGATTTTGAAGATAGCTTTCAAGCATTTTGAGGCGTTTCTAGTAAAACAAAAAGCTGACAGTTTCTTGATCAGAAAACCATGTTCTACTTGGTCGAAAGCTTTCTCGAAATCAGTGTATGTTGACAAGATGATCAGTTTTGTCTTTTTCAGTTAGGCTGCAGACTTCGTCAAGAATCTATATCATTTGTATTGTTGCTGATATTTTGCGTCAGAATCCAAATCCACTTTGACGGAGCTGTCTATAATCTTGAGTTGATATTTTGTCAAATATGAGTCTTTCAAGAACTTTCGAACCCGAGTAAAGGAGACTGATTTACCGATAATTGGCCATTGATTGTTTGTCACCACACTTGTATATAGGGCATACTTTTCTTTGCCAGATTTCAGGATTATGTGCCTTTGTAATCGTGTCGAAAAGGTGTGGCGACCTTTTAAAAAAAATTTGCTAGCTTAAATAGTCTGACGTTTCTTTAATTTATCGGGCCCCACAGCTTTGGTTGCCCTTAATTTCACAAGACTTTGTTGTGAATGCAATGCTTATGATGACAAGTACCATGCTGCTGACGTGGACCGGGAGATAGCCAGATTTGTTGAACACGCTTTGAAATTACTCATTGAATGAATTTGCTAAGTCGCGAGTCGTTATAGACAAACTTGTTCATTCCAAAGCAAAATCCTTGGTAACCCCCATGTTTTATAGTACTTTTCAGATGCTTCTACAGCATCGCAAAGTTTCTTCCTTCAAAAAAATGCCCTCGAAGCACACATTGACCTTCCTCAATTGCGTCTTCTACGAGTTCTTCCATTTTGGTCGATTTCATTTTGTAGATTCGCTTGATCGATTTTCACTTCTCCACAAAAAGCATTTAATTTTTCATCAAGTTTGATGTTGGCGGTGTAGTGTAATCCACGGCGGAAGGCTTCTTCGGTGATTGGTTTTCTTACACAGACAAGTACTCAAGCTTCTATAAAACCTACTGTACCACATTTCTACTACGTGATCTACATTGCTACAGCAGTATGGCTGAAACGGTTTATCTACAACTTCTCGCTCAATATTCACCCAGTTAGCAGCATTGATTGAGAGAAGACGGAAGTCACATAATATAGTTCATTTATTATCTATTATATATTTAAATGCGGGCTTCACTATCTCGCCATGTTTAAGCTTTTTCAACGTATTTTTTTGCATGTTAAGCTATATCGTATATTGCAATGGTTAAGAATTTTTTTTTTCGATTTTCCGATTTGATTTTAGTGGTTATTTTACCGATTTTAAATTAAGCAGCCCAATATCGAATTAGTGCTTGCAAATTTTGCCTCCAATTTTGAATGCCCGAATCATTTTAGTTAACGAGATAAACTAAAATGATTGCGAATCTTGCCTCCAAGTATGACTGCTTGCGAATCTTGCCTCCAAGTATGATGGCTCATTTCTTTGTAGTTTTTGAGATATGACGTTTTTTGTGATTTTTCAAAAATTTTCAGAAATGTTCAGAAAGTTTAAATTAATTATTTTTCAAAATTTGAAATTTCCAACGCTATAGTTCGGCGTTGTCAGGGTACTCTAAAGAGTTGCAAATCTTGCCACATGCGACTGCTAAACGCGACTGCTCAAATGCTTTTAGTTTCCGAGATGTGACGTTTTTTGATTTTTTCAAAATTTCTCAAAGAACTTATCTAAAGAAATTCAAAAAATTTGAAACTACTAACTTGATGAAGATACAACCTTATTGTCAGCGTACACCCAGGCGTCTAAAATCTTGCCTCTTAATTTGAACGCTCAAATCCTTTTAGTTTCCGAGATAAGACGTTTTTTTTTTTCAATTTTTTTTCGGGAAACAGGTTTAAAAAAATTCACAAAATTTTAGATTCCTAACCCTATAGTAGGGTGCTCTAAGGGACTCTCAGTGGTTGCAAATCTGGCCTCCAAATTTCTCCAGAGGCCCATTAAGTTTTCCAGATGACGCTTTTAAAATGGGAATAAAAAAAAATAAAAGTTCGAATTTACCAACCCTGTAATTGGGTGCAGTCAGAGTACACTTCAAGTTTGCAGATGTTGTTTCCAATATATGCGGTTTTTCATGAGCTGTCGAAAAATTTCCAATCACCGAAGGTGCGTTAAACGCTAGTCCTGATTTATTTCTGAGTTTTTTGTCATGATATTATGGGTCACTTGGAAAAAGTCGGGAGAAATTTCTGCCTTGCTATCTAAATAATGAGTCGTTTCAAATTATTCCAAATGAGATCCGTTTGATTACAAAAAATAATATCAAGATTATTTTTTACCAAAAGAATCTGTTGTTAATTCAGGCTGGGACCGACCACTCACCCATAACCACAAAAAGGTCAATTCACTCTTAAACTTAAATGTCATGTTACCCATTTTTCACACTTGTTTCTGCCAGTAGAGGAAATTTTTAGTTTCATGTGAAATTTTGGGTAGTACACCCTTCATAGGATTGAAATTTGGGTGAGTGATCCTTTCTTAATTTTCGGACAAGCGAACCCCCATAAAACTTTCGGATGAGTAACCCGACGTCAAAGCAGGCGCGCGTAATAATGGTTTACCTTGTTCGACAACAAGCCCGAGTCCATTTTTGAGTCCATCAATTCAATCCCAGACATGGCTTCAAAGAGAGTGAAATTCGGACAATGTATCAATTTCCCCAGTTGAATATGCTCACATGATGCCAAAAACTTCTCAGTTATGTCCTCGCCTTCAAAGGTCATCATTCCTTAAAAAAACTAACAAAAAGTACATAAAAACTAATGAGAGTGAGTCAAGTTAGTGGCATAAATACTAATGAATTTGAATCGAAAATCGTGTCGCACCTAATTTATCTTACTTATGCCTCTAAATTTTTTTCCCATTGATCTGCAAAAAAAACATGAGTTTTGAAAGCGAAAACATTCGTATTTTAACAATTTTATCGAGAGGCAGAATAAAAAAATTATTCATCAAAGTGTTCAATGTTTATGAAATCAATTGAAAAATCTTGCGACAAGATTCCTGTCGCATGCCTTAGATACTTTTACCTGTGAATTACTGGATAGGCCCGTACCAGCTGTCATCGCTTCACCTCCCAATTTCACTCAGCTAACGACACACAAGTATGCAATTTCCCAATTCTAGATACAACCAAACCGACGGACAAATCCAAAGGCGTTCATTCTCTCGACGACATCATCAAACAAAAAACAGTAGAACAGGCACTTATTGAGAAGCACCCACCATCTCAACCAATTGATGATAACTATATTTGTAACATTCGCCCGGAAGTACATACCGACGGAACATAAAGCTAGGTTGTAAAACAGCGTCTAAACACAGCTCTACATGCTTTTCACACTCTTTGCCAAAGTCAAATCTTTGAGTGGTCCTTTTAACATCGGGTCGACAGAAACGTTACTGTGTAACATTCGCCCGGAAGATACATATCGACGGAAAACAAAACTAAGTCTTAAGACGACTGGCTAACGTCTAAACAGAGCTTTGCATGCTTTTCACCGTCTCTACCAAGCCAGTACTTTCGGTGGTCTTTTCTAACATCGGGTCGACAAAAACGTTACTGCTTCCGGCTTCGGTCAAAACACTCAAATTAACTAGATTACATGCAGAAATAGTGAGCTCATGGCTGGGTCTCAGTATCCCCAGACCACGAGGTCACTCCTAAAAACAGGGCTACTACTATTGATTATATTACTATTGTTTTTGTTCAGTAGATAAAAATCATCATCTCCATCGAAGATGGATCAACCCTTTCCCCCAACTCCTAGCTTCTCATCCTTATCAAAATGAATCCAGATGTTAATTAAATTCAAATCAGGACATGACAAGAAGCTAAAAGTCTATATAACAGGCTAAAAGTTTCAGTCCCGAAACCCTTCCGGATTCTTGAATCCACTGAATCAAGCTCGCTAATCTTGACTTCCTCTTAATCCGGAAGGCTGTCCTCCACCCTTCACCGTTGTCTGCAACGGCCCTGCAACTATTGTAGCGACACAATAGTTGCAACTCGGAGTGTTCACTGCTATTTCTGCAATCGGCTATTGTTTTTTCTCACAATTTTCGTACTTCTCGTCCGCGCAACTAGTGTTGTTGTGTTTTTCTTTTACTTCTTTGCCAAAATTGTTGTGATAAACTTATTAAATAGTTTCATGTTGGAAATGATCGGAGATTGAAACGACGACTTCCCTGACAACGGAACGAGACCTCGCTGGCTGTACTCAACGAGTGGGAAACACAAACAACAGAACGAGCCACTGCACACTCTTGACGGAACAGGATTCCCAGGCTTTTAACTGAGATCACGTTCAGACCAGGAAACCCCGTACGCTCTCCCAAGGTGAACTAGCCCCTCTGCCTTTTCTATTCCCTCTCATTACTGGGTTTTTCCTGGGTATACTATATTCGAAGCATGTCTGATGATACCTTGAAGAGCGCCATCCGCGCTTTCAGTGGGAAAGACTATTACCCAACTATCGCCCAGTTGGTTTGGGCGTCGGAAGACGATGTCAACAAAATACTAAACGGTCAACAAAAGTCAAGTCTTACATGCCTCCTTCGCCAGTGCCTCTCACAGCTGAAAGAATCTTTGAACAAAGAGCAAACAATGACAGATATTGTATCTACACTCTCAACTGGGATAGGCGAACTCAAAGCATGCATTCCCAAAATAGAGTCATCAGTTGAAAGAGTCAGAGATGAAGTTGAATCGGTCAGAGCTAATGTGACTGAAATAAAAGCAGCGGAGCGAAGCGCGCCGCCTGTACAAGTACCAACGCAAATTTCGCCCGAGTCGTCTACCGAAACGCACCTCTATCAAATCAGACTTGATGGTCTACCCGAACTTGATAACAAGAACCCAGCGGAAATTATTAAAGCTGAAACAGCAGCAGTTGAACGTGTATTCAACCATTTGTCTGAGCATCTTACCATATGCAACTTGAAGCGTCTCGGTGCTTACAAAAAAGAACGAAGCCGACCCAGAACTCTTCTCATCACTCTGCCACGTGTCTGGGATGTACGAAAAGTACTCTCGAAAGCCCCAATGCTCAAATCCTACAACGAAAAAGTTTATCTATCGAAAGGACTTGGTGAAATGGAAATTAAAGCTGAGAACGCCGCACTCAAAAGAAGACGTGAACTCATTAATGAAGGAATTGAATCATCAAGACTCAAAATTCGCCAGTCAAAGCTATACCAAGATTCGAATCTGATACCTCTAACAGTGCAATGACTAAATGATTGTCACAACGCCCTCATCTAATTACTTGTCTTCAACGTCAGAAGTCTGATCTCTATGGAACGCCGGTACGCGTTCTCAAGAGCAGTAGCAGCCACAAAACCGCATGTGCTCGCACTAACTGAAACTTGGTTTACACCTGAGTTTTTGGATAGTGAACTTATGTTAACCGGTTACATTGCCTATCGGCGTCAGCGTGCTAGCAAAAATGGCGTCTCTAAACATGGCGGTGTCTTGATTGCAATATCCAAAGATATCAAGCATGAACATTTGATCATATCTGAATGTTCAGATGTCGAGTACGTTGCTTGTAGTTTTTTCACTGCCAAGCAGAACTACATACTAGTGAATGTTTATAACGCGCCTTCTTCAAGTCCATACCGATGGACTTTGGATCACTGGAAGAAACTCCTGGAAGGTATTCAAGCTCTTCGCATGGATAATGAAGTTCTCATTATAGTTGGCGACGCAAACTTATCGACAGTCTGATGGAACACACTGAATTCCAATGATGATCATGAAAATGATATATTGGTCGAGTTTGACCGCAGAAGCCTTACACAGTTCGTTGATTTCAAAACAACTGCTACTTCCTGTATCGACATAGTTCTCTGCTCATCCGACTCTTGCATCGCTAGCGTGTCTCCGTTTCATGTTTTCAACAATCTGTACAGCGTCAAAAGCCAAAATTGCTCCGACCATATTCCTATCAAGGTCACATTAATTGGGAAGGAATTGGAGTCAACACACGGGCCAAACCATAAACACAGCTTTGCACTTGCTGACTATGGAAAACTCAACTGCCTGATCGCAAACAATCCATTCACTGGCAACTGCAGGTCCAATATCAATGTACTTCTTGAAGAGTGGTATAAATGGTTGGACCACCTTTTAAAACAGTGTGTACCATACAAAACTCAACACCGGAGCTCACTACCTCCATGGATCTCCAGCAGTACCTCGCACCTGATGAAGCAACTGAAGACAATATCTCGCAAGTACGACCGAAAACCAACGGAAAGCATGCTTTGTAAACTAAAGACAATCGAAAGCCAGATAAAAATAGCTTGGGCATCCGACCAAAGCGCATACGAAGAAAAACTCGCTGAAGGGCGAAGTACAACAAGACTCTTCAAATACTTCAAAAGTCTTCGAGGCAGTGGATCGATACCACCGAAACTTTTCTGGGGTTCAAAATCTGCAGAGTCCCTGAGCGATCAGTGCTGCATGTTTAATGAGTTCTTCCAATCTACTTTCACTTCATCGACTCCCGAAACACCTGGTTCTCAATCCACAGTTGTATGAACTTTCCTGAATGGCTACGAAGTGAGCAGCGCCGCTGTTGGAAAAGTGATGATTTCGCTAGATGTCACAAAATCCCGTGGACCTGATCTACTCCCACCTGTGCTTTTCAAGAACACGCCAACTTTGAGCAAATCTTTACACCAGCTGTTCTTTAAAATACAACAGGTGGGATGTTATCCGGCTAAATGGAAAGAAGGTGCAGTAAGCCCGATCCATAAAAAGGGTTCGAAGCTACATGTAGAGAACTACAGACCCATCACGCTCCTCAGCATTGCCTCGAAGATCCACGAAAAACTGATATTCAATGCTCTCTATACTCACGTCATTCCACACATAAACTCTTCGCAGTTTGGGTTCACCAAAAATCGCTCACCAGTTTTACAAATGCTCTGCTATCTAGACAATGTCTATCGCAATATCTCCAACACTGACGTAACAATTGAAGCCGTTTATTTGGACTTTGCGAAAGCATTTGACAAAATAAATCACACTGTGCTTCTGAGAAAACTGAAGATTCTGGGTATCCAAGGAAAGTTACTCAAAGTTCTGCGCAGTTATCTTGATCAACGTAAACAGTTTGTCCAAATTGGAGATGCAAGGTCCGAACTTCTTGATGTAACCAGCGGGGTTCCCCAAGGTTCACTTCTTGGACCATTACTATTCATCATCTATGTAGCTGACTTGCCTCTCAATCTAGTTTCTGAGACATTCATGTTTGCTGATGACACAAAGATATTGTCAATACATCAGAAGATACTAAATTCCAGGTTGCAGGAGAATCTGTCCTCTCTAGAAGAGTGGTGTAGATCAAACTACATGAGCTTCAATGTCGGCAAATGTTCAATTGTTACCTTTTCTAGAACAGAGCCAACCGATCTGGCTCTTTATGGCAAACCGTTAGCTCATTCAAGTTTGGAAAAAGATCTTGGCCTCTTGGTAAGCGACAAGCTGAAGTGGAAAGACCACATAACTGGTGCCTGCAGCAAGTCAAATAGAGTATTAAACTTAATCAAAAGAAATGTTGGCCACCGAGTGAGCACAAAGCATAGAAAGGACCTTTACAAATCAATGGTGATACCAATTCTACTGTACGGATCCACAGCTTGGAGTCCATCGAAAGGTGATCTGCGCCTGATTGAACGCGTCAAAAGACGCGCCACCTACTGGATGCTTAATTATTGTGATGACAATTACTGCGACAGATTGAAAAAACTCAACCTTCTTCCACTATCTCTAAATATTCAAGTGTATGATATTCTTGCTTTCCTCAAACTTGTCGGTGCTAACTCCACATTCCCCTGGTATGATTACACAAGAAGAAGTGAAAACAGAGAGCACCGCACACGAGCTCATACTCACAGCCTATTTGAACTCATACTCACAGCCTGTCATCACAAAAGAAATTCAACGACAGAATTTCTGGTATCGTGCCCCACGCCTCTATAATCTTCTCCACCGACATATCAACCTCGATGGGAGCAACGTCAAACCGCGTGTTATCAAGTTTTTCTGGGACTACTATCACCGCCACTATAACGAACTAGACTCGTGCTCCTGGACTTTTGGCTGCCTGTGTAGCAACTGCCGTTTCCCGCATTCCATAGACTTTTCTTAATATGTTTACGGGCTCACGCCCTTCAACTTTTGTTGTAAAGCTTCAATAATAATAATAATAATAATAATAAATGGCCGTTTCTGACGTTTCTCAGAAATGTTACGTCATCACTTCGAATTTTTAAAATTTTAAAATACCAGAATATTCTAGCCCTCACCGTTTGGCCAATCGTTCCAATAACGTTCTTAATTCTTAATAATCATCAATCCGGAAGGCTCGCTGCTAAAAATTCGAATTCTGCAGAGATTGCATTTTTCCCATTCTGGTCAAATGTCACACTGTTTCCGGCTTCGGTCAGAACGCTCAGATTAACTCAATTACCTGCGAAAATAGTGAGCTCATGGCTGGGTCTCAGTATCCCCAGATTACGAGGTCACTCCTAAAAACAGGGCTACTACTTATTTATTATATTACTATTGGTTTCGTTCAGTAGATAAAAATCATCATTCCCATTGGAGAATTTTCTACTAAAAAGTAAATTTCAAACTTTTCGCAACTATGTGCATTGTCAGATTTTTAGAATAAACTAATCTAAATGACGATAAAACATCAATTTACAAAAAAATTCACATACAAATTGGTTCAAAACCATCATGTTAAGAAATTAGCCAATCACAGTTGACCTCTAAATTACTATTACGATTGACATACTTTTACCGGTTTCGCTTTCCTGATATGTATTGCCTCTAGTGTTAATAATTTTGTTCAGTTGTTTGACCTATCTATATCTAAGATCCGCGTTATTTCCCTCAAATTGGCATTGCTGAAGGTGGAGGCCTACCGGTGAGTCTGCTCCTCAATTCTAGTGGTCAAATGTCGAACAGTTTGTCCGACATAGGTGGAAGTGCATCCACTACATGAAATTTTATCAACCACTCTTGACTTGAGTTCATTAGAAAATGCTGACTTCAGTGATGGTAAATATAATTCTAGTTTTCTTGTGGAGAAAACCACTTAAGCATTAATTAATTTTTGTAACCTGTTAG